AGGAGAAAACGGCCTGGAGGTAAGCAATGCCCAGCAGATCTTGGGGAGTACTGGGCAGTGGGGGCAATCACATAGTTTTCAAAGGCTTATGGAGAATGGCATAATTGCCTCCGCTCTACGCTGCCTACCTTCAAGGGCCCGAATTTTTATCACATGATTGCAGGGTTGCTACAACACTGTAACTCTGGGCAGAATAACAGAGTTGGAAGGGACTTGGAGATCTTCTAGTCCAACTCTCTGTTCAAGCAGGAAACCCTATACCATTTCAGACAAACGGTTGCTTAACCTCTTCTTAAAAACCTTCAGTGTTGGAGCACCCACAACTTCTAGGAGCAAGTTGTTCCACTGATAATTGTTCTGTCAGGAAATTTCTCCTTAGTTCTATATAGTTCTAGGCAGCATGGGTCATAACTATCCACCACCTTCATCATTTCAAACAGTTACTGAGAAAATGGTGGTTAAGTCAGGATGTATGTACCTTTTATGAACTTGCTTTGTGACAAATTTACTAGTTTTTAGTATGCTCTTCTCATTTACTACAAATATTAGAAATGTATCAAGGCAAATTGGCTATCACCCATCTCATTAATTTGAATTTGACCACTTGATCAAAATTGGCTTTCAATAATTAATTTCATCAATATTTAGTTATATTGGACTATGCAGTTTCTCTTCTTCCCTGACAAGCAGTCATTTATATTACAACAATGATTGATAATAATTCCCTAAATGGTAACTAATTTTAAATGATGAAAGGTTATGAAATCTTGAAATCTAATCATGGAATAATAATAATACATCTGTGACTTTACATTGTGGTGAACAAATAATAATAATAATAATTGACAAATTCACCATCAGTCAATTGCAAAAGGCAGCTTTACAGGGAACAGCTTACATTCTGTGACAATACTTTTAGCATCATAAAACATCCACATCTGCCTATCCCAGGTCCTTGGGAAGGACTTGATAGGAGGACAAAAATACCAAATCCAGTCTGAACATCTGACTATGTGATACACCATTAATAAAAAATGTCTAATCCAGTCTAAACATTTGCCCGACTGCTTCGAGCCATAATATATTAAATAATACATTTCCTTCAAGCCATAATTCAGTTAGTGCGTCTTAGGCAAAAAGATACTTACAGAAGACATTCATCTTATTGGCTTGAAGACTGTGGATGGCAATGCTTGGAAGAAAAGTTACTGATGCTAAGCAAAGTGCTCAAAACACTTTGATTCACGTGTCGAGAAAATGCATTGGAAAATGCTTTTATACCCTAACCTTCTCGCCTACACGTTTATCCTCTCCTCCCATTCTTATTATACATAAAACAAGGAACAAGGAAATCAACTCTTTTGGATTTACACCCATAAGGAACCCACATGAAAGGAACGTATCAGTTCTGAGAGTTATCCAAGAATTTTAGATGCTGCTTATGAATCTGGATCTAATTGTAAAATGAAAAGATGTTTCAGTTGACTATCCTGTCATTTCACATCCAAATTCCTCTTGCAATAATCTAAATAGTTTAAAAAAATTGATTGAGCAAGTTGGCTGGGGAATTCTGAGAGTTAAAGTCTGCATATTTTAAAGTTGCCAAGGTTGAAAAACACTGATCTACAGGAACCTTTCTCAACCATTTTATTCTGGAGGAACCCTTATAATAAATTTCAAGTCTTGAAGAACCCTTGCATAAAAATCACAAAAAATATAAAAACATCACAATAGAGTTAATTTCTAACCTAGATAATACATGTTTTACAAGATTTACAACTCCAGCATAGCAACAGGCTAGCACCTAAGTCACAACACTTAAAAATGTCCATCAGGGTGAGCAATAGCATAGTGTAATGTGCAAAGTTTTTTTTTTAAATCAGATTTACAGTATTTTTTCTGTCACAATCTATTGCAGAATCTCTGGGTCTGAAGAATCCCAGATGAAGAAGGCTGAAGTATTAATACCCTATGAATTCCTTCCAAACTCCCCCTTCAATTTTCAGATTGGGATTATCCAAAAGGAAATTTAGTATATTGATAATGGTCAAAATTGTACATCTGTTCCAATGTCCTCCAAATATTCTTTGCAAACTTTAATATAGGAAATACAGAACAATTTTGATTAAATTCTGACGTTATTCAAGAGAGGTCATACAATATATTTCTAATTGTGTCCATAGTGGGTTTTGGACTTAATTGCTTGGATTCTTTAGAGAAATAGAGGTCAGAAAAAATAAAAGCTGTAAAGATAAAAAAAATCCTGTTAGTGTATTCTAGCTATAATTAAGATATAGAAAATTTAATGTTGTCCTTCCATTAAATTGATGGTACATAATTAATCAATAAATCAATATGGGAATTCCTCCAAATTTATACATCTATACTATATATATAAAAGATTTATTTTACAACTTTTAGCTTTTCCCAAAATCTCACTAGATTTTAACCATTTATTTACATTTAAATTAATCTGAGACCATTTGAAAAAAAAGCAATTTAAAACACCAAGTAAAGCCCCAGTTTTTAGATTTGCATAGATATGTTAGACACCAGAAGAAATTTATGTAACTAATTATCTGAGTAACCTAATAATATGCCAAGAATCAATTAAATAAATATGGAGCATTTAGAATAGTGAATAAGACTTAATGTATTATTGGCACAGAGAAACAAACTGTGATCAGCTCAGCCTTGTTTATGCTCAAGGAGGCTTTGATAGTCTGATCAGACAAAACCAGTCAATATTGAATTAAACATAATTTAACGTTGATAAACACTGCTATATTGAACATTTATTTGTTTAAACATATTCTGCCTTTAATATTTTTATAAATAACTCAAGTCAGAGAACATACCTAATATCTTTTTTTCGCCCTATTTTCCCTGCAACAAAAACCCTGTGAGGTGGGTTGTGCTGACAGAGAGAGTCACCCAGCTGGCTTTCATGCCTAAGGCAGAACTAGTACTCCAATCTTAACTCCTAGACCAACCTGGCTCCCTAACATAAGCATATTAAACGTAAGAGGAGATTAAGGATTTCCTTGATAAGTTTCATGAGACATCTTAATTGGTGAGTAAATTATTTTGATTGAAGGATTAGAATAATATGTTTTAATCCAATTAACAAAAATAGAAAGCTCTCCATATTTGGTTCAGAAACATGTTCCATAAATTTTCACTGTATTTAAAATAAATTCTTTTTTTTTCTGAAAGAGTCTCAAAATTATCAGTTTGTATTCTATCATTATTGAAAGCTGGTTTCACTTTTTTAAAACTAGACTGCACAGGTTGGACAAAGAAAGCTTTGCCAAAATGTTGGCGTTTACATTTAGAAGAAAATCAGGAGATAAAGTTGTCCAGGCAGTTAAAACTAGAGTATGATTTTTCCAAATCAGTTTTAATCAGCATGTAAAGAACAACTAGTTCGGCTTAGTTCATAAGGCATTAGGCTAGAAAGTGGGAGACTGGGAGTCCCAGTCCCACCTTAGGCACAAAGCCAGCTGGATGATTTTGGGCCAGACACTATTTCAGCCCTAGGAAGAAGGCAATGGCAAACCACTTCTGAAAAACCTTGCCAAATAATGCAGGGAGTAGCCCAGATAGTCACTAGGAATCAGAAACTGATTTGAAGGTGCCCGTACGTGTGTGTGCGTGCACACACACACACACACACACACACACACATAAAGGAAACTAGAAAACTTTCATTCAAAGGAGCATCATTATGAAATTTCAACAATATTGGAACAAAACTTCACCATTTGATTTATGGCAATTAAGAGGTCAGCAATCAAAATCAGGCTAAGAGTGGTTTCTGCTTTAATAGATAGAAAATGGTCAGCTGTAATTCTTAAAAAAAATAAATTATTTGAAAATGATTGCCTTCTCCAATAACCTTTAATTCAGTATTATAAAGTGAAGTATGACAATTGAAGAATGCCAATTCATCAGATCAGAATCATTCTTCTGTATATTTTTTCCCTGTGGATAGTTACTTATCACCATAGCATGGTTAAAGATGCTACCTCCTAGGATTGCCTGGAAATTTCCCATCAAATAGTCATCAGGCCTAACGCTGCTTAGCTGTTTGAAGTAAAGCCACAATCAACTCAGTAAACTTTATCTAAAAAAATCATACATCTCTCAGTGCGTAATACTATGATCATTTGCAAAAGAAAGATTGTTTTGTGGCAATTATTCTAATGACAGTCTCTAGTCCTTTGTGTACCCTTATTATACCAGTAGTCCTCATCTTATGACTAATTGCTTATGATCAGTCATTTATCAGCATTTGCAGCACCCTCTGGTCACGTGACCACAATTTACACTGTTTTTTCCAGGAACCAGCATTTACTTCTGACTTCTGGCAAATAGCACCCCATAGTGCACAATAGATTTGCTTAACAACCACGGTGTTCCCTTAACCGCTGTGTTTGCTTAATGATTGTGTTCAAAACTGCTACAAAAAGAGTTACGTGGTGACCCACTTAATGACTTTCATAACTTATGACTGTAATTGCAGGTTTCAAATAACCTGGGTTATTTCCCAAATAACACTCAGAGTAACTGGGAATCAAGCAGCATATAGATTTAATAAATTATTATTGCCCCTACCTGGGAAAATAGACTAATTGGCCTTGGGAATTTTTGGTTGTTGACCAAGTATGCATTTCCCAACTGGAAAACATCATCAGTTTCTTTTGTAAAAGGCCTTTCCACAATTGCTTTCCAAATCTTACTGGGCCAGGGTGTTCCTGGAAACTTTGTAGCTGAAGCAATCGGTATCGGTTGACTTGGTACCTCTCCCTTTCTTTTGCTTCCCCCAATGGGTAATAACTTCCTTCATTTTAATAGTCCAACTCCCACCTCAAGTACTATGATCCATTTGGCATCGCTCTTTAAGAAGGATTCAGATGATTGGAAAACATTACAAAAAGGGCGCCAAGGACAATCAGGGGACTAGAAAGTAGGTCTCAGAGGGGGCCGCAAGGTGCGGTCAAAAAAAGTCAAGTTGGTGGCTAGCAAAACTCTGTTTTTATTTGCAGAGCTTCAGTCGCCCCGTTGAGGACATCATCTTGACATTTTGACTACACCTTGCAGTGTGGGATGAAAAAAATAAAAAAGGTTCTTTGGAAGGATAAGTTGGGAACTCTTTGCAGTAAAAAATATGTCCTGAGAAGATTGGTGGTGGCTGCTTCAAAGAGGGCTGAGAAGTGCTGTGTGAACTCGACTCATGACCACAGTCGAGCCCAACATTTCCGTTGCTAAGCAAGACAGTTGTTAAGTGAGCTTTGCCCTATCTTACAACCTGTCTTGCCACGGTGGTTAAGTGAATCACTGCTGTTGTTAACATGGTTGTTAAGTGAATCTGGCTTCCCCATTGACTTTGCTTGTCAGAAGGTTGCAAAAGGTGATCACGTGACCTCAGGACACTGCAACCGTCATAAATACATGTCAGTTGCCAAACATCTGAATTTTGATCACATGGCTATGGGGATGCGGCAATGGTTGTAAGTGTGAAAAACGATCATTAGTCCCTTTTTTCATTAGCTACTGTAACTTTGAACGGTTAATAAGTGAATGGTTATAAATCAAGGGCCACCTGCAATCCAATCTGAAGCATCCCAAACTACAAGAAACTAAATCCTGGGAAGAGAGATGAAGCAGAACTGCAAATATACACTTATAACATTTCATCAATCTCTGCAATGATAGCCACAGCAGATGGAGAGCTACTTTCTTTTCCGAGAGTTCAGACTGTGGAACGATGGATTTGAAATGCAAGGAGGCTAATTTTGTTGTTGTTCAGTCACTACATTGTGTCCAACTCTTTACACCAGGCCCCTCTGTCCTTCTCTGTCTCCTGAAGCTATCTTAAACTCATATTCATTGCATCGATGACACTATGTAACCATCTCATCCTCTGCCGTCTTCTTTTCCTTTTGCCTTCAATCTCTCCCAAGATCAGGGTCTTTTCCATTGAGTCCTTTCTTCTCATTTGGTGGCCAAAGTAGTTGAGCTTCAGCATCTGTTCTTCCAAAGGACTGTCAGGGTTGATTTTCTTTAGGAAAGGAGGCAAATTAAGTGGGGGTGTGGGGTGGGGAACCAAACGCCCTAGCAGTAAAATCATTTCCCTGGAGGAATGAATAGAATAGAGCTGGAAGGGACCTTGGAGGTCTTCTAGTCCTGCCCCCTGCTCGAGCAGGAGACCCTATACCATCTCAGACAAGTGACTGTCCAGTCTCTTCTTAAAATTCTCCAGTGATGGAGCGC